TTTTTCCATTCCCAATCTCCACACGTCCCTGGCAGGAGGGGACAGCCCCGGGGGGACACCAGGACAGGAGGGAACGGCCCCAGGGAGCTGCAGGTGGGAGAACAGCGGGAATTTCCTCATGGAAAAGGCGGCCAGGGAAAAGCTGGGCCGATCCTGGAGGGTTTTCCAGGCTGGCTGACGCCGGGCTGTGGCTGTCCCGAGGGTGAGGACGGTGGAGCAGCTGGAGCAGCGCTACGTGCTGGTGCCTGAGGCGGTGAAGGACGCGTACCTGGTGCAGCTGGTGCAGAGCTTCCAGCAGCAGCACGAGGACTGGGCCATCATCATCTTCACCAAAACCTGCAAGTGAGGCCTTTTCCAGCCTTTTCCAGCCTTTTTCCAGCCTTTTCCAGCCTTTTTCCAGCCCTTTCCCGGCCTTTTCCCGGCCCTTTCCCAGCCTTTTCCAGCCTTTTCCAGCCTTTTCCTGCCTCTCCCAGCCTTTTCCTGGCCTTTTCCTGGCCTTTTCCCAGCCTTTTCCCAGCTTTTTCCCAGCCTTTTCCAGCCTTTTCCTGCCTCTCCCAGCCTTTTCCTGCCTTTCCCAGCCTTTTCCCGGCCCTTTCCTGGCTTTTTCCTGGCCTTTTCCTGGCCTTTTCCGGCCTTTTCCAGCCTTTTCCTGGCCTTTTCCTGGCCTTTTCCAGCCTTTTCCTGGCCTTTTCCAGCCTTTTCCAGCCTTTTCCTGGCCTTTTCCCTGCCACTCAGCCCTGGCCCGTTGTTCCCACCCCTGGAAATCTCCCAGGCCGTGCTGGAAAATCCTGGGATGGTTTTCCCACCTCTGGAATTCCCCCAGGCCGTGCTGGAGAATCCTGTCCCAGTTTTTCCACCTCTGGAATTCCCCCAGGCTTGCTGAAACACCCTGGGACAGTTTTCCCATCCTTGGAATTCTCCCTGGCCGTGCTGGAAAATCCTGTCCCAGTTTTCCCACGCCTGGAACTCTCCCAGGCCGTGCTGGAGCACCCTGGGCCAGTTTTCCCATCTCTGGAATTCCCCCAGGCTGTGCTGGAGAATCCTGGGACAGAGAATCCCTGCCTGTCCCAGTTTTCCCACCCCTGGAACTCTCCCAGCCGGTGCTGGAGCAGGACAATTCCAATCTTTCTTGTCCTGTCCCGTTCCCTCGGTGCATCCTGAGGATTTTGGGGTTTTTCCCCCTCCTCTCAGGGACTGCCAGGTGCTGAACATGATGCTGAGGAGGTTCCGCTTCCCCTCGGTGGCTCTGCACTCCATGATGAAGCAGGTGAGGGCTGCAGGGATGTGCCAGGAGCCGCTCCCGGCCGGATCCCGCTCCCCTCACCTGGAATTTCCCCTTCCCAGAAACAGAGATTTGCAGCTCTGGCCAAGTTCAAGTCCAGCATCTTCAGGATCCTCATTGCCACCGACGTGGCCGCCAGGTGAGGCTGGGGCTGGGCTTTGGGCTGAGCAGATCCCCAGATCCGGGCGGGACGGGCTCTTCCCAGCCTGATCCGTGGCTGCTGCCAGGGAGGGAACAGCTCCAGGGGTTTGTGCTCCAATAAAAACTCCATCCATGGAAATCCGGGAATTTTGGAGGCAGCAGGAATTAAACCGAGCTCCCTGGGATAGAGGAGGGGTCCCACTGAGAGCTGAGTGGGGTTTTTAAACCTCCCAGCCCAAATCCCCCTGGAATTTTGTGGCTGGATGTTGAAGCTGGGTGTTTTCCCAGAACTGGGAATGTTTATTTTTATAAAATGAGTTGTTTATTTTTGTTTTCCCTGCATTCCAGAGGTTTGGACATTCCTGCAGTGCAGCTCGTCATCAACCACAACACCCCGGGGCTGCCCAAGATCTACATCCACCGCGTGGGGCGGACGGCGCGCGCGGGTGAGCCCGGCCCGGGGGATCCTGGGATCACTGAGATCACTGGGATCACTGGGATCCTGCCCTGGGATCCTGCTCTGGGATCACTGGGATCCCTGGGATCACTGGGATCGCTGGGATCCTGCCCTGGGATCCTGCTCTGGGATTGCTGGGATCATTGGGATCACTGGGATCCTGCCCTGGGATTGCTGGGATCACTGGGATCCTGCCCTGGGATCCTGCTCTGGGATCGCTGGGATCACTGGGATCCTGCCTTGGGATCCTGCCTTGGGATCCTGCCTTGGGATTGCTGGGATCATTGGGATCCTGCCCTGGGATCCTGCTCTGGGATCCTGCCTTGGGATCGCTGGGATCCTGCCCTGGAATTTTGCCCTGGGATCTGCTGGGATCCTGCCTTGGGATCCTGCCCTGGGATCACTGGGATCCTGCCCTGGGATTGCTCTGATCTTGCTCTGGGATCCTGCCCTGGGGTCTCTGGGATCCTGCCCCGGGATCCTTCCCTGGGATCTCTGGGATCCTGCCCTGGGATCTTTGGGATCCTGCCCTGGGATCTCTGGGATCCTGCCCCGGGATCCTGCCCTGGGATCTCTGGGATCCTGCCCTGGGATCCTGCCCCGGGATCCTTCCCCGGGATCACTGGGATCCTTCCCCGGGATCACCGGGATCCTGCCCTGGGATCGCTCTGATGCTGCTCTGGGATCCTCCCCCAGGATCCTGCCCCGGGATCCCTGAGGTGGGATCACCCCCACACAGATCTTTTAGGGGGTTTTCAGCCTGGAAAGGCCTCTCTGATCACCCCAGGGCGGCTCCCGGGGCCTGATGGGTTGGGAACGGTTGGGATTTGTCCCTTTCCGCCTGTCAGAATTCCCAGATCCCGGTTTTTCCCCCGTTCCAGGGCGGAAGGGCCTGGCCATCACCCTGGTGACGCAGTACGACATCCACCTGGTGCACGCCATCGAGGAGGAGATCAGTGAGTGCCAGCAGCTGCCTCCCCTTCCCAAGGAAAAGCAGGATCCGCTGGATCCCGGCGTTCCAGCTCCCGCTCGTCTTCCTGCTGGGTTCAGTGCAGCGGGAATTGTTTATTCAGCTTTTATTCCTGTCATTTTTTTATTCCTGTTCATTGAAGCAGCTGCTTCTTCAAAAAGTCCAGGTCCAGGTTCCCCATTCCCCTCTCCAGGTTCCCCATTCCCATTTCCATCTCCACATTCCCCATTCCCCTCTCCAGGTTCCCCATTCCCCTCTCCAGGTTCCCCATTCCCCTCTCCACATTCCCCATTCCCATTTCCAGGTTCCCCATTCCCATCTCCACATTCTCCATTCCCATTTCCAGGTTCACATTCCCCATTCCCCTCCCCACATTCCCCATTCCCCATTCCCATCTCCACATTCCCCATTCCCATCTCCAGGTTCACATTCCCATCTCCACATTCCCCATTCCCCATTCCCATTTCCAGGTTCCCCATTCCAATTTCCAGATCCCCCATTTCACTTTTCCCATTCACATTCCCCATTCCACTTTTTGGATTCCCTATTCCACCCCTGTGCTCACATTCAGGGTGTCCATGGGTATCTCAGGGTGTATCTCAGGGTGTCTCAGGGTGTATCTCAGGGTTTCTCTGGGTGTATCTCAGGGTGTTCCAGGGTGTTCCAGGGTGTTTCAGGGTGTATCTCAGGGTATCTCAGGGTATCTCAGGGTGTCTCAGGGTGTATCTCAGGGTGTCTCAGGGTGTATCTCGGGGTGTATCTCAGGGTGTATCTCAGGGTGTTTCAGGGTGTCTCAGGGTGTCTCAGGGTGTCTCAGGGTGTATCTCAGGGTGTCTCAGGGTGTCTCAGGGTGTATCTCAGGGTGTATCTCAGGGTGTCTCAGGGTGTATCTCAGGGTGTATCTCAGGGTGTCTCTGGGTGTCTCTGGGTGTCTCTGGGTGTATCTCAGGGTGTTTCCCTGGGTGTCTCAGGGTGTCTCTGGGTGGGTGTATCTCAGGGTGTACATGGGTGTATCTCTGGGTGTCTCTGGGTGTCTCTGGGTGTCTCTGGGTGTCTCAGGGTGTCTCAGGGTGTATCTCAGGGTTTTTCTGGGTGTATCTCAGGGTGTTCCAGGGTGTTCCAGGGTGTTTCAGGGTGTATCTCAGGGTATCTCAGGGTATCTCAGGGTGTCTCAGGGTGTATCTCAGGGTGTCTCAGGGTGTTTCTGGGTGTATCTCAGGGTGTCTCAGGCTGTTTCAGGGTGTCTCAGGGTGTCTCAGGGTGTCTCAGGGTGTCTCAGGGTGTCTCTCAGGGTGTCTCAGGGTGTCTCTGGGTGTCTCTGGGTGTCTCTGGGTGTCTCTCAGGGTGTCTCAGGGTGTATCTCAGGGTGTATCTCAGGGTGTATCTCAGGGTGTATCTCAGGGTGTGTCTCAGGGTGTCTCAGGGTGTTTCTGGGTGTATCTCAGGGTGTTTCAGGGTGTCTCAGGGTGTCTCAGGGTGTTTCAGGGTGTTTCAGGGTGTCTCTGGGTGTCTCTGGGTGTCTCTGGGTGTCTCTGGGTGTATCTCAGGGTGTCTCAGGGTGTATCTCAGGGTGTCTCAGGGTGTATCTCAGGGTGTCTCAGGGTGTCTCAGGCTGTCTCAGGGTGTCTCAGGGTGTTCTCAGGGTGTCTCAGGGTGTCTCAGGGTGTCTCAGGGTGTATCTCAGGCTGTCTCAGGCTGTCTCAGGCTGTCTCAGGGTATCTCAGGGTGTATCTCAGGGTGTCTCTCAGGGTGTATCTCAGGGTGTCTCAGGGTGTATCTCAGGGTGTCTCAGGCTGTCTGTTCCCGGTTTAGAGCTGAAGCTGCAGGAGTTCCCTGTGGAGGAGCAGCTGGTGCTGGACATCCTGACCCAAGTGAACGTCACCAGGAGGGAGTGTGAGATCGTGAGTGTTCCTGGGAATCCCTGGGAATGCCTGGGACAATTCCTGCAGGAGCCCCTGGGGAGGCTCAGCTCCACTTTTCCCTCTGCTTTTCCCATTTTTTTCCCATTTTTTCCCATTTTTTTCCCATTTTTTTCCCATTTTTTCCCCTTTTTTTTCCCTTTTTTTTCCCTTTTTTTTCCCTTTTTTTCCCCCAGTTTTTCCCCCAGTTTTTCCCCCAGTTTTTCCCCCGTTTTTCCCCCGTTTTTCCCCCGTTTTTCCCCCGTTTTTCCCCCGTTTTTCCCCAGTTTTTCCCCAGTTTTTCCCCAGTTTTTCCCCAGTTTTTCCCCCGTTTTTCCCCAGTTTTTCCCCAGTTTTTTCCCCAGATTTTCCCGTTTTTTGCTGTTGTGGGGGAGGTTTGTGGGTCTGAGCCGTTTCCCTTTCCCAGGAGCTGGAGGGGATGGATTTGGATGAGAAGAAGGAAATCAACAAGAGGAAGCAGATGATCCTGGAAGGGAAGGTGAGAGCTGCAGCTCCGTGAACTGCTCAGGGCTGGGAAAACCTGGGAGAGGGAAAGGGAAAAAAGGGAAAAGAAAAGGGAAAGGAAAAAAAATGGGAGGGGAAAAGAGAAGGGAAAGGAAAAAGAAAAGGGAAAGGAAAAACAAAAGGGAAAGGAAAAAGAAAAGGGAAAGGAGAAAGAAAAATGGGAAGAGAAGAGGGAAAGGGAAAGGAAAAGAAAAATGGGAGGGGAAAAGAAAAGAAGGGAAAAGAAAAATGGGAAGGGAAAGGAAAAGGAAAAAGAAAAGAGAAGGAAAAATAAAAGGAAAAGGAAAAAGAAAAGAGAAGGAAAAATAAAAGGGAAAAGAAAAAGGAAAAGAAAAAGAAAAATGGAAAGGAAAAAGAAAAGGGAAAAGAAAAAGGAAAGGGAAGGACAGCCCCTCCC